CATCCGTAAGACTTTTCCTGCAATTAAGTTACATTTACTGATCCACTACTCCTTAAAAGAAGCATTAACACAAAGACTTCAATTATTCATGGTCAAACAAAGTTGATTCTATTGCTTCAATCAAAGCGGCATTCTCTTTTACAGTGGTTATTTCTGTAGTATCTTCAAAAAGGGCACAGAGTCTATGAAAACATGTAAGTTTCTGAGTAAAAGCCATTTCCATGATCAATCCTAACTTTTTGCATTTAGTACTTCTGCCATTTCCTGCTTTCATGGGGATGAAATTTGCTGGGGTTTTTTTGTTTGTTCCCCTTCATCCCTTAAAGGGTAAGCTGATTAAAATTCACCATTTTTTTGGACCCATTCCAACATCCTGAGAAAAAAGGAGTTTCTCTTTCTCCCTCAGGAAAAAAAAAATAAATAAATTACTATTATGGAAAACTTACTGAGGAAAAGCAAACCAGGGCACTCTGGAAAATGAACTCTTGTGGAATGAAGTTGGTGGTTCTTGTGCTGTCAGCAGAGGGCTTAAAGAGCTGCAGAGGGTCTAACATCTGCGGAGCCGTACCTAACTTCTCCCACTGCTAAAAGTGTCTGCAGTAACTCCCCGCTCCCTCTTCCATAATTCCCAGCTGCTGCCCATTCCTGCTGGCGATGCCGTCCCCCGGGAGTTAGCACCTTGTAGCGCTGCCCATGGCTGCCCAGCTTCAGTCCGAAATACCCAAAGTGTAACCGCCTTAATTAAGCTACAGAAGCACGCGTTTTAAAGGTCAAGAGTTCCCAACCAATCCCAGGAATTCAAGAAGGGGATAATATTGCCCAAAGACACTAAGCAGGGCTGGATCTTCCAGAGATACTCGTTTCGTTTGCAAAGGTTGAGAAGGAACACAGAGTCTCGATATTTTTTGGTATAAGAAAATACCAGGGATACATTTCTTTGACTCGGTAAAAAGTCTAACATATGTTCTATTAGATGTAATGTTAACAGGGAGATAAATTCTTTCCTCAGTAGACCTCCCTAAATGAGAGTAACCCTGAGAGATGACAGGCTGTTACAGACTCAAAATGATTGTGTATAAATCTGTTTTCAGGCAAATGTGCACCGGACTGACAGCTGATTGAGGCATATACATAAACACTTCTTCCAAAAGTAAAAATTTGTTTCTAGAAAGTCACAGTCTCCAAGTCATGTTTTCCAAAGACACAGAAGTTGAAGAACGCGCACCAGGAGCAAAAGAATTCTACCTGACCGTCTACCAGATGTCAGAGGTTTAGTAGAGATTGTGTTCCTTTTTTGCTGCAACTACATATCACACAAAAGGATAACAGAAAACAACCTAAGTGTAAGAGGGAGCAAAATGCATCCCAGAGATACTGAGAAATACCCAGAAAACTAATATTTGAATTTAACATTGTTCCTCTTTTACAAGGTTTCATCACTACAGAAAGTCTTGAAGGGGAGGAAGAATATAAATCTCAATGACATATCATTTCTTTGCACAGAAACTATTTAGAAATTACAACACCAGTGAAGTATGATCACAGGATTCAGCAACAAGACTTAAGAGTTTATGTCCTTACTTAAAAAAAAAGGTATTTCATGTTTTCAGTTTCTTCCTCAAATGAGATTTCCTTAATGCTTTCAAGCTTCTTTACTTCCAGGAAGAGACAGAAAGGTGAGAAAGCAATTATACCATAAAAAAATAATAATCCCAACCTGCTGTAAACCAACTGTCCTTCCTTTTTCCTGTCCTTTTTGTAAGCCCATGTACTTACGAAACTTATCACTTAAGTAACACCAACTTAATGTACCAAGAAATGTAATAGTGGATAGAGATTTTTCTCTGCTCCCTTTGGTTTGAAAAAGAGGAACCGAGGATGATTATGTGGGTTGGGCACTTCAGTCACAAGTTGCTTATATGCATGACTGCCCTTAGAAATTTCTCTTTACTTCATTATTTTTGACTCACACATCATTGACACAAGGCCTGCCACAATGGGAAACGGCAAAGACCATTTCACGAAGATGAATTTTGGAATAATTCATTTGACAACTATGTTTGTGGGAAATAACATCAGTGAAAACGCTGTGCAGGTAATGCAACTGAACCTTTTCATTACTTAAAGAGCAAAAAGGTTCATTAATTTTTGCTATAGGGCATTTCACATTTGAATAGTTATATTTAAGTGACATTCTAGCTTTCACATGAAAAGCTTAGAAGTCTCCTCCTAGATAATTAATTCTAGCCTTGGAGTCTGGTGAGGAGACCCAGGAAAAATACAAAGTATTCAACTGGAAAAAAAATTACATACTGAGGAAATTTAAGCAGGGACTATATGCATTACAAGAATTTACCAACAACATTATGTGTTATCAGTATATGCTAACAAATTACTTTTATTTTTGCAAATTTAAAGATGGGCCTTGTAAGTAATTTTCTAAAAAAACTTTGCCAGAATATGTTACTTGTCATCTGAAGAACTGTTTAAATGACAATAAAATTTCACCACAAATCAGTCTAATTCTCTTTCAGCCTTCCTAGAAAATGGGGTTGCCTGGATGACACAGATGTTTACAATGCACAATTCATTCTGGAAGCATCAAAATGTTCTTGTGTATTGTATTTCCGTGGAAGAACTAAACACTGTGTCTCTGGGAAGGTAAGAAGTCATGTCACTAGCTTACATTAGTGTATTTAGAAATACTACTATAGAGTAATTTAGGTTGGGCAGGAATTCTGAAAATCAGCCATCTAGTCCATTTCAATGTCAGGTCCAATTACACCAGGTTGCTCAGGACTTTGTCCAGTTGAGTTCTGAATATCTCCAAGGAAGAAGCTTACACCACCTCTCTGGGCAACCTATTCCAGTATTTGACCACTCTCACAATAAAAACGTTTTTTTAAATACCTGAGTTTTCTAGTGCTCTGACTTGTGTCCAATGCCTCTTACTCTATCACTCTGCATCTCTGAGAGGAGTCTGGCTCTGTTGCCTCTGTACCATCCCATCCCATCAGGTAGCTGGAGACTGCAACAAGTTCCCCCCAAAGCCCTCTATGCTTAAGGCTGAACAAGTGCAGCTCTTTCAGCCTCCTCTTCTGCATCAGCTGCTCCAGCCCCTGATCATTGTGGAGAATCTCTGCTGGGCTCACTTCAGTATGTCCATGTCTGTCTTGAACAAGCCTAAATTTGGATGCACCACTCCAGATGTGGTCTCCCATGTGCCAAACAGAAGGGAAGGATGACTTCCCTCCATCTGCTGGCTATCCTGCTGTTAATACCACCCAAGATGCGGCTGGCTGGCACATTGCTGACTCACATTCCATTTTTTGTCCATTAGGACCTTGAGGTCTGTTTCTGCCAAGCTGCTTTCCAGCCAGTACTGGCATATGGGGTTACTCCATCCTAGATGTGGGACTGCATTTGCTTTTGTTGAACTTCATAAGGTTCTTGTTGACTCAAGTTTCCGGCCTGTTGAGGTCCCTCTGAGATCCTGCCCTCCAGTGTACAGACTACTCCTCCAAATTTGCTATTGCCTATGAACTTGCTGAGGGATGCTACTAGTTGGACTTTGCATTGCTGATCACATTTCCTTGAGCTTGGTGTGTCAGCCAATTTTCTACCCACCTTACAGTCAGTATGTCACCAATTTGTCTAGAAGAATACTACAGGAGAACAAATCGTGAACACTTAAGATTCCAACTACTACCTTGCCTAAAATAGCTCACAGTCCTTATCAGTAATATAATTTATTAATTATTGGGTGATAACAGACAAACAGGATAGTCTGGGAAGTTAAACTAGGGACTGTGAATCATATAAAATCTGTTAGAAACTACAAAATTAGTATCTGCATATGGGAGATATTTCACATGAAAGACATGTTAATGATTCCATTCACATAAAAATACAAGTTAGATAAAACCCTAGACTTCAGGAAACCATAGTTTATTCAGGAATGTCTGTAGAGATAGGTTTGTGAGCCCAAAGGTTTGCGTATTTTTTCCCCAGTGCACACCGGTCAGTCTAATAAAAGATATTACCTTTGTCTACATACTTGGCCTCCTTCCCTCACAGAATGATAATTTTAATCCGTGATGTGCAATTGGTAGCATTTTCACCTCACTCAGAATTATGAAAAAAATAAGGAAGAAACTGAAGCTTACCTGGAACAGAGAAAGTATTCCTGTGTTTCAAACTGCTGTTTGGAAAATGAAAATAAGTGCATCTAGGAATCAAAAGCTTGATATTGCTCAGCATTATATACTAAATAATTATTGTTCATGTCTAGGTAGGAATAATGAATCAGTTGAAGAGATATTGTTAAGTAAAAAGGACGTAATAAAAAGGAGCTTCCTCTTAAATGAAATCTGAACAATATTTTCAGTATACAGTCACTTAAACAATATCATCTACATTTATGCTGTATATAGACATGTACCAGTTGCAGTCAAAAGTGCTTTAAAGTATGAGAGACCTTTTCTGTAGTCTAAGTGAAGTGGAATAAATATATTGACTGTATTCTTGGAACATGGTGGGGCTTATTTTCATACAATTAAATACGGCAAGTTATCCGTTTCACCATTACATGCTACAGTACTCGCACATCATGATTCTGTTTTTATTATTACACTGATTAACTACACTAGAGCAAGTGTATCTAGCCCATTAAGTATCGGTGTTGATAATTAAGATCGATGTTATTGCTTTTCTTTAGAACATTTTTACTGCCTGTTTGGTAGAACAAATGATATCAAATAACAAACTATACAAATCAAGGCCGGTAAGAAATTGATTTTTTTTCCACCTGACATGAGTTTCCTTCATAGAAAGTAGGATTTAGTCTGATGTTAACTCATGTATATTTTTATAATTTCTATGAGCCAGAATAGTTGCAAGGAATGTGGCATGAAACACAGGGTCCAAGAAAAACAATATAAAAAAGCCAAAACATGCATTAATTTGAACACTCTGAATAACACACCTTTTAACTGCCCAGATCATAAATATGTACAATATGCTAGTGTTTATTTATCTTTTAAAATTCAAATATATGTTAGCAAAATCATTGCATGCCTTATTTCCACACATTTTTTCACATAACAAATCTAAAAATTATTTTATGAAGCATAAGATCATTCGACAGGTATAAATGAACAGTTAAAACCAAACCAGTTAAAACCAAAACAGGGCATCGTTATGGTGAAAATAACTTTCTTCAAAGAAAAGGTCCCCAAAGGATTATTTTGAGTAATTTTGGAAAAATGCTATGGTGATGTTTTCTTCTGCAGTTTCTTGTACCATACAGGTGCCTCTTTATTTGTCTGTAAAATAAAGAATTAAATAAATTTACTTGTGAGACAGGGAAGTCAGAAGAAAAACATGCAATCTACGCTAAAGTCTCTTTCCTTCCTCTGTAGTTCAGAGGGATAACTAAGCTGTTTGCTTAAATGCAAATAAATTAAAAACAAGACTATGCATTTAAGGATTTTATTACAGCATATCTGCATGAAAATATTCCTATTTCTAGGTTATAAAAAGAAGATTATACAGTAAGAAGTAAATTATTTGTTTTAAAATATCTATCACAATGAAAACATACACCAACTGTGCCATAAATAGGTTTCATTGGAAACAGCATCATCTGACTCTCCCACTTGAGAAGGGAAGGGAACTTAAAAAACAGAGATCTTAGGTGTGCCATAATTGACCAACACTTTGTGCAGCAATGTAGTTCTTAACAATTATAATTAAAAATAAAATAATTCAGCAGTTTTCTGACAGCGTAGAAAGTATTTTGATCACAGAGAATTATCTGTGAGCAACTTTGCCTTGCCTTCATAATCCTATGGGCTACTGCTACGCGGTCAGGATTGCACAACGTTCTTGTGCCAAATTCAGAGGTCGTTTGTATAGAGAAATAAAACTGAAGAAGTGGAGGTGGAACAAGGTAAGGACTATTCTGTTTTCAGCATTGGGTATAATCTCTTACATTAGTGAGTACTGCCTCTTTTGTCTGTTGTCCCTAAACTCATCCCTTTCTAGTTCCATTTGCTGTCTGCTCTCTATTAATTCTTTCCTCTGAGACTTAATAACCATTCAATTTAAAAATCGACTTTATTCAGCCGGCCTTGTGGTGGGGGTTCTCATCACATTTTAATCTCCATCTTTCTCTCATTTTGAAGATTTCAGTTACAATAATAAATCTCTATTTGTGCAAGCTTTTAAAATTCTAGAAATTGAGCTAAATTGGCAGGATTTTCACAGGACTACTAAATTCTTTCCACACTTAAGGAGAAACCCTGCCATCTGCCCATTTTCAGTTCCCTACTCCAAAGTCTGAAGAATTTTTCAAAGAAAATTTTTCAAAGAAAAATTGGTCACAATTTCTCAATATAAAAGCATTTTTTCTAGATTACTACGCCATTTCTATATCCCTAAATAAAACAGGAGAGATTAAACACTGAAACCCTGGATCATCCACACAACCTAATCGCTAGCTCACATTTTGGCTCTGTTTTGGATCACTGAATAGCTCTGTCAAAGGCAGAAGTTTGTGCAGTGTGATTTAGCACCACCAAAAGCATTGTGGAGGAGACAACACTGAGTGGCCTGTGTTTAGTCTCATAACACTATCCAAGCAAATTTTGAACCTCTAAAGTCCCCAAATGCCCTCACATCATGTCCAAGAGACTCAACCATTTCCCACATTGTGTATTAGAAAAATAGTATCTGCTGTGCTGCAATACAAACCTTATATTGTTTAAGACACTGAATTTTCAAGTGTCCACCAGGCAAAGAAAAAAAAAAAGAAAAAACTATATAGATATTTGGATCAAAATAGCATTTATGCTGTGCGGTGTGGATACAACCAATCTCGGGAAAGGTAGCCTCAAGAAGCGTAAGTAAGAGTCATGATTTGTTTTATGATTCAGCATTGCAACTTGGCTCTTTTACGTTTATCAGCTCAGATATAGTCAGAGCCAGAAACTTCTAAACCATTTTCATGAAGCTTTCAAATAGTAGAGGCACTAAGCCTGACACAGGCCACTTGAAGTGTTGAAATCCAAGTATTTACTCTCTAAAGGAACAAAACAGGGTTTTAATATCAGGTATCCTCAGTAACAGAAGAGATATCAATATTTGGCATGTATTTTTTATAGATATATTTAGATATATATACATACATTAGTATACATATATTCATAAATATAAGAATACATAAATACACTTATTTCCTCACTCCTGCTCCACGATATGTAAGTATACACACACACACCACACTCATACATGATCAGGGTAGATTTAAAATTGTATACATAGTCTGTGGATCCCTGTGGCTATTAAATTTTTGCTAACCATTCTTAATACTGTAATATTATAATGGCATATAAAAAAATAAAATTTAGTTTGCTCTGAGCTTAAGATGCAGAAAGTACCAAATAGCTAAATAACATCATAAACTGCAATTTGTCTCCTCAACATTGAACACTCCTATAAAGAGCTCTAAGTATTCAGCTGAATTAATTGTATATCTCCTTGAAGTATGAACCCACATTTTTATCTTTAAAAAGTAAGGTTAACGATCAAAAAATCTTATGGCACTTAGTCTTATTATAGTACTTACAAATAACGTTGGCTTAGGTGTAAATACATTTTCTTCTTCATGTTCTGGCAGCAGTTTTACTAAAGGGTTTGATTTGTTTTTTGCCGTCGCACTTTTTAAATCAATATGAGACGGAGGTGAATTCTGTTCATAGCGTTTACCATGTAGACTAATTAGAATCTGTTTCATTGTGGCTAGTTCCTATAAAACCACAAAAGAACAGTACTAAGTTATTCAGTAAAAAAGCATTTGAACCTATTAAATATTTATTTATTAATAATAAATTTATATTCACCAAACTACACGTGTAAGTGGATCAGTAAATCTAACAAGCATGAACATATACTTGCCATAATTAATAAGGTTACTAATTGGACACTACTAAAATAAGAAAATAAAAAAGGCATATAGGATTTATGCAACTCAAATTTTGTACTGCTTAAAGGCTGTAAAAGAGAACATTTACTGTGCAATAAGGAGTCCACTATCTCTTTTAACTTAACTATTTAACTTAAAAGAAGAATTTAACTTTAGCTTTTTAAGTTAAAAGAAGTTTTTTGAATTTTGTCAGGCCAAGGGAGTTTACAAATCTAACTTGAATGACTGTGACAAATCGTACTTTTCAGCGGTAGGTCTTGCATGGAAGTCTTATAAATAAATTACTAGAAACATGAGCGTGTCTTTATATCCAGACCAGAAAAGAAAAATCAATGAAAAAACTTTGCTACAGCAAAGGGATCAGCGTGGAAAAGATATTTTGTGAAAAATGAAAGTTCCAACTTGGGAAAAAGAAAACCAAGAGCACATAGAAATGCAGACTTTTTTGGATGTTGGAATAATTTGCTTTGTAAACAGTTTGAATTAATTAAAAAAGTAACCTTTTCTTTCCACTTAGCTGAACAAAACAGATTATTCAAAAGCTACAGTACAGTGAGAAAGAAAAAAAAAATTGTGACATTAACTGGACATCTCCTTTTGTCACCTTGTATCATCTAGTGCCTAACGTTCTCTCTCCCCACGTGTAATGGATGTAATTACTAAAAAATAAGTTATAGAATTTAAAACATTATTTATTGTTACTATTTATTGTACTATTATTATTATTATTCAGAGCACTCACTATTGCAGAACCAGAAACAGCAATGTCAGCAGAAAAGCCTTTCAAAGTAAATTTTATGATAATGTTATGTTTTATTAACTATTAATGTTTTTGTTTGCTTGCATTTTACAAATGCAGTTGTCTTCAATAAGCAATACTGTTAATGTATTAGCATTCTACATAATTAACATTCTATCTTATCTCTCAACCAGAACAGGCTAACTCATATTTATAGCTGAATGACAAACATTTGTTATATCTTACCTATTTCTTAATACTTGCCAGAAAACTACATTGATGCACGTTCTATTTTCATTGCATTATTAGTAACGAGTTAAAAAAAAAACCCCTCAGCCTTTTAAAATATTCCTGCCATATACCTTCTCTCTGCTCACTGCTGCCTTTAATACAAGACACAAAGTCAAAAGAATCACGTTTGTTGCCTTTAAATTGTCCCACGCTAACTCAGTTATATGAATGGACGTTACACTCCGCAGACCAGCTTTATCGAGTGTACAAATTGTTCTTGTATCTCAGTCATTTAATATTAACTATTTGCATAATTCAGCCATGTGTGGTGGCATGTTGAAACAGCGTGACTGCAGAGCAGCTGTTTAAAAGGACTGCATAGTTGATGCCAACATGTTTTTCAAAGTTGTAAACTCTGCAAAGATGTTGCCAAAGCGACACATAGACAGAATTTCTCGATGAAAATAACTCAAGCAAGTATACAGCAAATAAATACGCCATCACAGGAGATTAAATTGTACATAAACAATGCTTTGACATTAACAAGTGCTGTTCCTATACTTAAACTGCCTTGTTCTGTGGACCAAATAGTTGCACGTTTGAACAAGGCAAAACCCAAAAACTGTCACGCAGATTTATTTCAGAAACAAGAGTTGAAACCTGTATGTGTAGGGTCAAATTCTCTTGTGTCAAGATCCACTTGGCAGCCTAAGGTCTCCTCTACTTCACAGAATCCGTCCTGTACTTGACAGCCCTGTCTGTTTTCAGACTTGGAATAGGCTCTGGAGAGTCAGCTCTCAGACGAGATTCCCCCGTGACAGGAGAATTCTCTAATGTGAAGGAATGACAGGGAGTGGGGATGACAAATTAGCCCACAACGAATAAAGTATTTTGGCATCACGGCCAAATTTATCGTAAGAATTTAGCTAAAATTGCCTTAGTATTTGTTCTAAAATCCTTCCACATTTAGTGAGAAAGACCTTAACAAACTTGGCAAAATAGCACAGGAAATACTGAATCCAACAGAATCATTGGTATGTACTGCTAAACAAGAAAAGAAAATTGGCCCAACACATTTGCAAGAGATTTGCTGTTTTCAACCAAGCAAATACTGAAAACAAAGTTCTGTCTTGAACTGCAATAATTTTACCCATCTCTTTAGATTTCTCTGCTGCTGAACACAATCTTAATTCTTAGCTTCATTTTTAAATTCTAAACAAAGTCATTAGTGCTACTTGCTACTATTAGCATGTTACCGTGATTCAACAATATTTTCCAATCCTAAAAACTGTCAAGTTGTTCTAGAAAGCTCACATGGAAAAAGCAGATTGTGCTTAGCAGAAACATGTGAACTTGTTCCAGTACGAATAGGACCTTGTCAAAAAATAGGAAAGTAGGTATAGGGTTCAAAATGGATGGGAAGAATCTTTGGTGTAGAAGGAGATGTATTAGTTTCAGGATAAGCTACGTAAAGGAAGATGTGAAGACAAATGGATGGTTAAAATTTTTAGACATTTCCACTGTGTCAAATTCCCAATCCTGTGTCCAGGAAGAGCTGTGCAAATTGTTTGCTTACGGTATTCACTGCAGTTACTCAGTGCACTGCAGAAACAGCGTTGCTAAAGCTCTGCACGTCCCAGTTTCTCTGTGGAGGTATTTGGTCCTTGCCACGCTGGCTCCTGGACATACAAGCAAGCCATGCTACACAAGCTGTGTGTCACTGCCTTCAGGCTTCCAGGTCTGAAGGATCTGGCGAGCTAGAGAGCAGTCCTTCTTGGGAGGACTATGAGTACTGACACCTCTGAGGGGATTCACCCAGCTCCTCTCTGCGCTGGCTTTACAGCCTTGGTCTCTCTGTCCCAAGCTTCGGCAACACAAGCACCCGCTCCCCACTTACACAATATTCTGTGAGACGTGGCAGTGCAGAGACACGGAAAACAACGTGCTTCTCAAGAAAAGGTGGGTTAAGATGAAACAAGTTAAAAATTAAAGTATGCAGCCGGCACAAAACCACTTTTTATGTAGGAGTGTCACCCATACAAACATGGATCAGGGCTACACCCTATCTTCATAGGATTATAGAATGGTTAGAGTTGGAAGGGACCTTAAAGATCATCAAGTTCCAACCCCCCTGCCATGGGCAGGGACACCTCCCACTAGAGCAGGTTGCTCAAAGCCCCATCCAGCCTGGTCTTGAACACTTCCAGGGATGGGGCAGCCACAACTTCTCTGGGCAACCTGTTCCAGTGTCCCACTACCCTCACAGTAAAGAATTTCTTTTCAGTAGCTAATCTAGATCTCCCCTCCTTCAACCCAAAACCATTACTCCTCGTCCTATCGCTACACTCCATGACAAAAAGTCCCTCCCCATCTCTCCTGTAGGCTCCCTTCAGATACTGGAAGGCTGCCACAAGGTCTCCCTGGCGCCTTCTCTTCTCCAGGCTGAACAACCCCAGCTCTCTCAGCCTGTCCTCATAGGAGAGGTGCTCCAGCCCTCTGATCATGTTGAAAGTCTGTCCTCAGAAACCTGATGAATTTTTGTTAAGGATACTAACCCGCTCTGCCTACCAGCACAAATGCCAAAAAACAAAGCAGTGAGCTGTGTGACACATTAAAAGGGATTTAGCTAAAGCTTGTAACACCTAAATTTGTGTCTAAACTGAAGTATCTGCACATAAGCTAGGAATCTAACTTTCCATTACAGACAGTGTAGCTTGGAAAATGATTCAACTCTTTCAGGAGTGGATCCTTATGGGTGTGTTGGCTGAATCGTTGTGTAACAACACTAGCCATATTGACTAGGTGACTATTGGCTATAAAGCAAAGACGCTTACCTCACTGCAGACACCTCCATTTAGATACCTAAATTTAGTTGTAATGAGCTCAATCCATTTCTCACCTCACTCTCCTTATCTTTTACTTTTCTCAGACTTCTACTTCACCTAAACCAACTTTTATCCTGAATAGCCAATGTACAATCATAATTCCCCTTGCACACACATTTGAAGTAACGAATTGCTGTGTTAAAAAGAAATGCATTTTTAGAACAGGGATTCACGCCACAGATCGTCTACTCATGTAAGTTTTCCCAAACATGCATAGGTTCATGCTTTAGAACAATCTAACATCCCGTGTTTCACTTATGCACAGTAATTCACATTTAATGAAGATTACTTGAACTATAAAACAACCATTGAAACTTTTGCATACACAACCAGAAAGTAGCTGGAATACAAAGTAAGCAAATAGAATGAATGGACTGAGAACAATGCGAGCGATGTAGCAGGAGGTGAGGTAAGGTAACATGTATTGCATTGTAAATAGTATCAGAAGAACTTGCTTGCTTATTTCCATTTTTATTTTTGGTACTGTGATATCCAACAACCTTAGTTAAAAATAGCAAAAACAATTTTGTGTGCCAATACACAAACGGAGAGGGAAATATTTAGGTATAGACAAAGGATAGGCACCAATCTTATCCATGATGTTCATTAATTAAAATGTTTTCTGGTTTGGGATTTTTCCCTAGTTTTGCCTTGTTGATTTATTAGGCTGAATGCTATCAATCAGTGCTGTTGTTGTGGAACTCTTACAGTCTGCAATAACTGAATATCACATTAAAATCATCAAGCTTTAAAACAGCATTAAAGGAACCAAACAAAACAAGTGTCAACCATTTTAAAAGGTAAAGGAAAAAAAAGCAAAATAGTTGGATGCTATCTGCTCATATTAATCATATTTCAGAAGAATCTGAGATACATATGAGGATGTTTGATCTTGAAACAAGTAAAAATAAGTTTATTTTATTTGAAATTATTTTTACCTGTTTATTATGGATAATTGAATAGTTCCT